AATATTTAAATACACTGAACCATGTGTTCAGCTTTAATGGCTGTACTCCTGAGATTTCCAGAGGAAAAAATCGTGAGAATGAGTTTAGTATTTAGCTCTGACTAATTAAAAGCGCAGATACTTCATTGCTCCTGTCAAACAGGTTACATTGAGTGGAGCGGTCGACCGTTTCAAGATGGCGGCCCTACAGCTCGTCAGCACCAACAGGCGATAGCGGTCAATGCTGTATCTAGTGTTTATATCTATGGTCAAACCAGCTGCACCGCCCCGGTGAAATGCTGCTAATTTGACAATTCAAGTGCATTTATTAAGTAAAAGTTCAACTGAGACACCTTTGCTATAATTTCAAGCAAACAAATAATTGTTTTAGGTGCTTATCTTGTTAAATTTTGAAGAAATGCACAGAGTTCCTCCATTTTTTTTCCTCCCCCTGCGCGCTCCTGGAGCACCGAGGCAGCAAACACTTTTGAAATACAGCTGATTTGACCGTTAAAGTCCTTTAATTAGCCAAACGTTATACTGAGACACACCTTTACTATAATTTTGAGCAAACAAACAATTGTTTTTAAGTGTTATTCTTGTTAAATTTTTGTTAAAGTCCTCCCATGCACGCCCCAGCAGCCGCCATTTGGCAGCCAATTGATTTTTGGCACAACACTGGGCCACATTTCTGGGACGTCAGCGGTGACACGCAACAAATGCGACGCATCAGCGGTGACGCATAATAAATGCAACATATACGGCGAAGCGACAAATTTATAGATTTTTCAACTTTATTAGACAAATATGGACTGATGCGACTTATAGGGCGGAGCGGCGTTTACGGCGGAAAAGATGGTAGGTGTCTTGATCAGAGACACCACGACATGTGGGAAAGGCTGGGAGTCGAACTGCAACTTCTGGTCCCAAATCGGCTGCCCCACCTCTACCCCATCTCGGCCTCCAACAACCCCTTGCATGTTGCAAAGCTTGCTGCTTGGAAGCATTCATATGTGCATGAAGCCGAAACCACTTTCTAAAAGCATAAATTCTACAATTTTTATACTCCAAGTTAATAGTCCAGCATAAATCAATAAATATAAAAGTGGCACTGACCCGTAGACAAGCAGGTTCTTCTCCACCCTGAAGCACTCGGATCGAGGGTAGCCCTGGACTTTGTCTTGAGGCCGTCGTTGTTTAGTGGAGGGCTTGCTGGGCTCGTCATCGTCACTCTCCAGCTCAGAGAACTCGAGCATCTCATCCTCTTTGACACTGCTGTAGTGTCGAGTCTGCTTTCGCACCCTCGGTGTGTCAATGACCAGCGTGTTCTGGAGATGAATTCATAGAAATTGTTTTTGACGGAGTGCTTTAAAGCAGAGACGTTCTGTCATTCTGGTATATGTCCCTTATTTGGACAAGCACAGATGGGTGGAAATCCACTCTTGACTATATGCAAAGTACCTTCTGTTGTATTCCTCTGAAATGGCCTATTTGTACATTTCTTGTACAACATGACTCCTGACTCGTGTGCACTCTACAAAACATGGCATCTTCAGGACCAAACCTGATTAATTGGATATTTCGTTATGCTCTTTGTTCCTGATATTGAGAAATTTGCAGTCTAGCTCAAACATGAACTGGCATTAATTATGTTGTCTAATGAATTACATTTTTTGTTTAATTAATTAGATTTTTTCACTTCGTTGCAGCCCCATTAATATGTCCAAACAGGGCAGTAGTTAGTTCCACAATTATCACATAGCTGCAGTCATTTCCATTTTAACGTCGCACAATGAGAAATCTCAGGGGAATGGCTTGTATTCATGTTTGTAGAGCTGGATTAAGTGTTTAAATGGAGGGCTTCTCCAAAACAGAATCAGAGAGGTTGAAGAGAGAAGCAAGAAATACCCAAAGAAACATTTTATAGAGTAAAGTAAAGCAGGAAAACAAAGATAACAGTAAGCGAAACACTTTATGTGCATGTAGGTTGCGTTTCTCTGTGTGTATGTGTGAGCCTAAGTGATATCTCTGTACCCTCCAGGCATCTGCGCTCTGTTAAGTGGAGCTAAGCAGCTTACTCTCTCTCGCTCAAATACACACACACAAGAGCAGGGAAACATGGGTAATTAAGGAAGAGAGGAGATTCCCTACTGTCAATATTAATCTCCCTCTTCCTCTCTCTGTGCGCCCCCCCTCCCCGTCCTTTCAGTCTCTCCCTCCCAGTTTGTCTCTCGTTTTTCGTCCTTGGATGTGATGATAGCACTCACAAATTACAGAGCTTTGTGTGCAGCAAAGTAAATACAAGGAGGTGCGCTTCTCTCCGCTTTTCTGTATTCATCACAACTTCTTTGAAGGGTTTCAGATCACAGGCCCTCGCGTTAACAAAATGCAAACGTGTGGGTTTGTGTGTGCTTAGTACCCGGCCGTTGATGGCATCCATGTCCAGCTCAGCCTTCTTGGCCCATTTCTGCCAGAAGTCTGGATCCTCCAGGGAAATGTCTGTTCGGTTTCCTGTCGCAACAAAACTGGCCTGTGAACAGAACAAAACATTCAGAAAGGCACAATCCATGGAAAACTGTGTGAACAACGAGAACAGATGCTGTGTTAAAGTAAGTTTGTGCACCTTAGCAAAAGTAGAGCCCTTTCCCTCTGATTCAATAGTAATGGTGTGGGTTCGTCTCTGCAGAATCTGGTCGATATCTTCTTCGCAGAATTTGGAGCCTTCGTCTTCCTCGTCCATTAGAGCTCCATAGGCACCCTTTCTCAGTAGGTCCTCTATCTCCTTTTTGGATAACTGCTGGACCTAAACAACAACTCAGGAGATTTACTTTATTTGTATTTCAAAAGAAATCAAGTGCGACACCAAAAAGGTTTAAGAACATCATGTGCGTACAAGACCAGCACCTTATTTCAAAAGCAGTGTGGTGACACTCACCCCGCTGTTTGCGTTCTCTCGTCCACTCATGCTCTGAAGAACGGCCTTATCAAGCCCCAGCTTCAGACTGGCCTTGTCAAACATCTCCCTCTCATAGCTGTTCCTCGTAATCAGACGGTAGATCTTGACGGACTTGGACTGGCCGATACGGTGGCACCTCGCCTGCGCCTGGTAAAACAAGCCATCGAAACTTCAGAGACACTTTCTTTTACAATTAATTGTGTTTTCCGTTTACTTCGAGCATTTCCATCTAGATGGGTCCAATAAAAGCTGAAGACTAATAATTTAGTTTAGCAGAGCAAAGCACATTCTGTATCATGACGCGTGTACCTGTAGGTCGTTCTGAGGGTTCCAGTCAGAGTCAAAAATGATGCATGTATCAGCTGCAGTCAAGTTGATGCCGAGCCCACCAGCTCTTGTACACAACAGGAAGACAAAACGGTCCGAGTCTGGTCTGGAGAACCTGTCGATGGCTGCTTGTCGCAGGTTCCCACGAACTCTGCCGTCTATCCGCTCATAGAAATATCTGTAGAGGGAGGAGACGTGAATTACATTCTTTAAACTTGTGTTTATGCACAAAATATTTAAAAACTGGGACTTTAAAGCTGTATGTAGCGACGGGTCATATCATGATTAGATTGAGATCGGCTAAAATGAACACAATCAAATGCAGGTCCGTTTTTTTACGACTCAACTCACTGCAGAAAAGTTTTGTTACTTTTTGATTCTGACGTTGCTTAATCTGCATATTCAGTTCAAGATGGTAAAACACAAGCAGCAAACTCAACACATCCTGCAATTTCTTCAAAGGTCAGTGAACAAATACATACATTAAAGTAAATTCTAGACAAGTCAGAGCAACAAGCAGAATGCCTGTTATTAACTAGAGCAGGGTTATTCAACTAAACTGCTCAGGGGCTGGACACCCAGCAGTTATTGTCATTAAATAAGTTTGTTCTACAGTTTAAAATCTAGTTTTGTTTAAAAATGAACCCACTGGTGGGCTGAACTGAGATCAACTGTGGGCATGATTTGGTCCACGGGCCGCCAGTTGAACAATCATGAACTACAGTGTCACTTAACATCTAATGGTGCATTCCCAGTTAAATCTAACACATCCATGCAGGATCAATAAAGTTCTGTCTCATCTTATCTTACACATTTCTGCTTGCAAGTAGTCTTAGTATTAAACAAGTTGCCCCTACTTAAATGTATTTTTATATAAACAATGGGTTATTACATTTGGTTGAAGGAATCAACAACTGTCCTGTGACTGAACCATGCTGTCATTCTACATACATTTGTTTATCTTACCGTTTTTGGATGAGGTAGTCCTCCAGAATATCCAGACAACGAACCATCTGACTAAAAATCAACACTCTGTGCCCACCAGCTTTCAGTTTGGGCAGCAGCTTGTCAATGAGCACCAGTTTACCAGCTGCCTGGATCATAGCCTGAAGACCCATTTCAGGCATGTCCGTCCTGCCCCCATGAGAGTCCCTGAACTCCTCAATGATCTTCTCCTCCGCTCCTGCACACACACAATTAAAAAAACAAACAAACGTGAAATGTTAAAACAGAACACTGGTTTAATGGTATGTGAGCTGTACTTTTGATAGAAGGAAGTTTGCACCATTAATGAGGTAGGGGTGGTTGCAGCATTTCCTCAACTCCATCATGGTGTTGAGGAGGTTGGGGACACTGGATCCTCCGCCTCCTCCTGATCCTCCTTTGGACAGGAATGAGAAATTCTTTTCCAGAATTGCTCGGTAGTATTTCTTCTGGATGTTGGTCAACTCCACCTAATAAAGACAACAGAAGAGGACACACTTGTACACAGTGTGACCACATGCTGTCGAGTTTGCCAAAAACAAACGAGTCCATCACTCCTATAAGAGGGAACCTTTTTAGACCCCTCTGAGCTCTGGGATAATACCTCAATGATGGTCTCCTCTTTGGGGGCCAGGTTCTTCTCCACGTCCTCCTTCAGTCTTCTCAGCATCATGGGCTTCAGGATGCCTTGCAGTTTCTGGACCTGAAACACCCAAAATAAATGTTACTGTATGAAAACTGATAGGTTAAAGTATGTCCCGTGTTCCCTTCCCTCATTTCCAAGACACTGGTCAGGTAAGTCCCGTTACCTGTTCTTCAGTCTTTAGGTCTCCAAATTCAGTCATGAATGTCTGTTCAGATGGGAATCTCTCAGGTTCCAGGAAGTTGAGTAAGCTAAAGAGCTCCTCCACTGTGTTCTGAAGAGGAGTTCCTGTCAACAAAACTTTATGCTCCTGAAGGAGAAAACAAGAGAACGAAAATTAAAACCAGATGATGCTTCAGAACTTAAACGGTGAAAGGAACGGAGAGTGGGAAAATAAAATCAAAGCGCAGACACTGGACTAATTATTTAGCTTTTATAAAAGTGTCAACAAAACTTCTACAAGAAATCCTACAAAAAAAACAAGCGTTTCTAAAAAGCTTGATATTTGGTGCTCTCGCAGACACATTACAAATATAAAAGACTCACCATATCCATCATTTTCAGTCCCTCCAGTAGTTTGCAGTTTCGGTTTTTGAGACGGTGGGCTTCGTCAATCACCACACAGCGCCATGGGATGCTGCGAAGCTCCGGACAGTCAGCCAGAATCATCTCGAATGTTGTTATCACCGCGTGGAAGCGATACACTCCCTTTATTACCTTACCCTGCAACGACGTATAAAGAGGTAGCAAATAAGCATGAAGGTCAGCTGGGAAAAAACAACACCCTCAATTATTACCCAACCCTGTGAACCTTCAAAACAAACACCTCCAGCTCAAGAACAATTATTCACTCAGAGCCACAGCAGCTACAGAAATTTAAAGTAGAAACCAAGAATTATACTCGTGTAAGCAACACAAAGACTCAACAGCTGTACCGTTCGTTAAAAAAACAACAACAACTGAATATTGAATTAAGAGGAACTTTTTAGGTTGTAGCTAATTTTGGTTTGAGCTCCACTGACTGCTTTGTTCACACTGTTGTAGCTCCCTCATTAACTTTGTGGCTCACTCGACCACAGCAGCTTGCACTGTACCTCTACCCCACTCAGTCATTTGAGTATAATTGAAGTGCTTGAAAACACCAACAATGACTCCTGCAATTCAGTTTCAAGAGATTTTAGGAATAATTATAAGACTGATTGTTGGGTGAATACAACAAACCCGTTGAGTACTCAACCTGACATAAAAGTTTAGTGCTGTGGATCCCACACACACAATCCTGCTAACTCTTGACAACACAAAGAGCTGTTTTACAAGGGCAAAATATGCTCTCGGTATTTTGGGTAACCCTCAGTCGATGCGGTGTTGTACATGGACATATCATCAGTCAAATTAATTCCTATACATTTAGATTATTTTGCATTTTAGACATAATAGCGAGACAACATAATACAATTTGTGTCATTGCTGAAATTTTCCTATATTTAAATTCTTGAACTCTACAAAATACCCGTTCCATAAAAATTATAATACAATTAATTAATTATATATACATACACACACCGTTTTTTTGGCCTATAAGTAGCTTTTTTTTTTTTTTTGCACAATTTGCATGCCCTGTGACTTATATACCAAAGTGATGTATTTATGTATTTTTTCCCATATTTATAAACCAATTTTTAGCTGAGATATGACCAATTTCAACCATTCTGACAATGAAAATATTTAACACTACCATTTTCAGCCACTAGATGGCACTCGAGCAGTATGGCATGCCATTGTGTCACGTAATATGTAAAAGCGACTATTAATGACACAATCGGCTTGCCACAGCCTGCCACCTTCGTCCAGCTCACCTGGTGTAACAGTCAAAGCAGCTTCATTTCGCTGCGCCGCCCCGACAAAATGAAGCCGATTTGACCATTGAAGTGCATTTATCAAGTAAAAGTTCAACTGAGAAACACTTTTACTATAATGTCGAACAAACAAATAATTGTGTTAGGCGCTTATCTTTTTAAATTTCGAAGAAATGCGCAGCGTTCCTCCTTCCTGATTTCCTCTCTGTCTGCACGCTTCCTGAGCACCGAGGCAGCGAATACTTTTGAAATGCAGCAGATTTGACTGATAAAGTGCATTTATTAAGCAAAAGTTAGACTGAGACACACATTTACTATAATTTTGAGCAAACAAATAAATGTTTTTAAGTGTTAATCTTGTTAAATTCTTGTTAAAGTCCTCTGTGCACGCTCCCGCGGCTACCAATTGAATTTTGTCACAACACCGGCCCACATTTCTGGGTTGTCAGCGGGGACACGTAACAAACGCGACGCCTAACAGATGCGACGTATACGGCGAAGTGACATATTTATGGATTTTTCCACTTTAATAAACAAATATGGACTGATGCGACTTATGGGGAGGAGCGACATGTACGGCAGAAAATACGGTATATGCATCCCCTACATAAATACCCATATACGGTCCTTGAATCCTTGAAGGAATGCATGTCGCTCTCCACCTCTCATGCCAATTTTAGACTAAAATCATCTTGAGATGAGGAGAGACTGAGCTGTAGCTTCTGTAGTCAAATCTTGTAAATGTGCAATTTCCTGTGAAATCTGTTAGCCCTGTACTGATGTGAACATGACTCGTAGCTTCTACTACACCAAATTTTAGCTCCTTATCTGTAAAATGGGTTGAGCTACAGCTATTTTTATATTTTCAAGTTTTGCTTTTTTGTTTTTGCTGTGGCAGCCATCTTGAATGGAACTGACTCCAAAAAGTAATAAGTTGTAGATGTACATCCAATGATTACTTTGAGTTTCATAAAACTTCATTAAACATCAGTGGTGCATCATATTTTGCTACTAGCAGGACAAACACACACAAATATAAGCAAACTGCGCCTTTGCATTTGGCAGCGGGTGATAACCAAAGTCTGTGCACATCTGCATAGAAATGCCTACTTTACAGTTCATAGTGAATATAGTAAATATTATTAAAAATACACAGCATTCCTTCTTCACAACCTCAAGATTACCCCAGCCCAGATTAGAAACACAGAACAACTGCACCGCTACTACAGCTTATTTTCTTCCAGGCTCGCTGTAGCAAAGGTTATACTAAGAGATGTTTGAAGCACTGAATGGAAGATTAAAATATAATAGCTAACAGCTGGAGGACGTTAAAGAGCTTAAGAGGCAAAGGAGACCCGACCATCTTCAGATAGTTCAAGAGTTCCTCGAACTGAGGAGGTGTTCAGATTTGCTGACAGGGTCACACGTTTCTGCACGACTCTTATCTTATGTGCCACACAGTCAGAGTAAAAGATTCAGTATAAAGTGAGTCAAGCAGTGGTATGCCATTAATTTTCACCTGTGCATCTCTGTAGTACATCTCGTAGGCCTGAATGGTTTTCCGGCTGGCCTGGCTGCCATGGTAGACCACAACGTTGAGGTCTGTCCAGGTCCTGAACTCCCTCTCCCAATTGGGGATGGTGGAGAGAGGGGCGATGATCAGGAATGGCCCTTCAATGTCCTTCATGTGTATCTCATATAGGAATGTGATGGACTGGATGGTCTTCCCAAGCCCCATTTCATCAGCCAGGATACAGTTACGTCTGCAGAAGATAAATGTGGACAGAACGAGAGGCTGAAACAGACGGATTTTACATTCTTTATATTTACCCTCACTAAACTGTTAAAAGTCTTTTATGCTTTCAAGTCAGGAACTGTGTGTACACTGAGGCCCTGATGTTAAATTCCAGGACTTTTACACGACTGGGCTCATCGGGCCTCTATAAACTAACATTTTTCCCTCCTGGTTTATTAACACTGATTTTCCAAAAGGGGCACGTCAGTTTGTTTTCCACTGCAGTGACCTAATGAGAAAAATGTGGGACACAAGTCGGAAAAATTCCTGGTAATATTATTCTGGAAAAGTTTGTCATCCTCTGCAATTTGACCAGAATCTTTGACCAGAAAAAAAATCACCCTTTAAACAAAACACAAGCACAAACAGACCCAATAAACCAATTTTAATTTAATTCTTCCTAAGAGTTTCTTGCCTAAAGACTCCTAAAGCACCGTCAGAGCAAACATTTCATACATGGATGGTGCCAGTGGGAAAACTTAAAACAGCAATGCAGCACATAGCCTCTTAGTGTTAACTTAAACACCCACTTAAGAGAAGTAAATGAAGTGTTCTTACATGCTCAACATGAAAGTAGCAGTTGGGGAATATTTCTTACAAAATATTAGTGGTGACTTACGAGTTGTACCAGTTGAAAGTTAGCCAGTTGAGGCCTTCGAGCTGGTATTCCCTGAGTGCATTGCCATTCCTGTACTCTCTGGAGCTCTCCAGCTTTTTCCAGTCGGCTGCAGAAGGCCGATCCTTGACACAAGCAGAAATAACACAGGGTCGTTAAACTGCAGAGAGGCTTATTAATCCCAGCTGAATCTTCAGTGTGAGAATGTTGAAATTGGGGCAACATGGGTTCAAATTAGGTTTCGTGGCTATGTGGAAAAGCTCACTCAGTTGATGACTGTATGAGCAACTAGTTATCTGCTGTATTTACAGGAACGTTAGGTTCCAGTCACTCAAAATCTTATTTCCAGCTTTCATTTGCATCATAAAATTTAATGACATACAAACTTTATGTGTAACCTCACAAATGACTTTTGGCGTAAATTGGTAATAAAATAAAATAAAAAAAACTACCGGTAATTAAAAATAGCCTTTACGCACAGCTAGGTGGTACAGGTGGACTGTAGTTTAAAACAGCACTAGTACAATGACTCAGACACCAAACTGGACAAACATTAAGATCATAAAATCTTACAGCAAAACAAAAAACACACTTCAGGACAAATTTTCACAACTTGTTGTAGCTTTTGTTTCTTCATTACAAGATAAACCAGCAACAATAAAACTTGTGAATTATAATAATTAACATCAAAGTTAATGCTCAATAATCCAGGTAATAAAAATCCAGCAAAGTTCAGACAGGTCATCTGGACGGTTTCTTTTTTTTGTTGAAACGTTTCGCCCTTCATCCAAAGGACTTCATCAGTCTGAGGAGCCACAAACAAACTGAGTCCCACAAGCAGCTTTGATGTTTTGAACCACTTTGGCTATGGCTGCCTCAGAGGAATTGATAGGGGAGAGGGCGGGCCCCAGAAACCATCTGATCACCATCAAACTGGTTGGCCCACTAAGTGAGTGTGCTGCTTGTGGGACTGAGTTTGTTGTAGCTCCTCGGACTGATGAAGTCCTTTGGATGAAGGACTAAACGTCTTAACAACAACAAAAGAAACTGTCCAGATGACCTGACTTAACTTTGTTAGAATAACTAACCAATTATTATTTTTATGAGTTTGATTAGCAGCTAACTGGATAGAATTGCAGCATAAAAAGTTAAGATAAATTATTTTTAGTGCAAACTTTCTGAGAAGATCAAGGTGTTTTGTTTTATTTTTTTACTTTTTCAAAGACAGACTTTATTTACATGAAGGAGAAAGCTGATTCACGTCATGCAAAGATTTTGTGAGCAGCACTTGAGGTTACTGAGGAGAGCAAATGTCCATTTGCTCAACTTTTTAATTCCACTCTTTCAGGTCTTTCAGCAGTTTTATAGAACCAGTTTGAGAAAACTGAGTAAAACGAATGCCTACTGCAACAGCCTAAATGACCATCCCTAGAGCAGAGCACTGAGAAGAGCTTAAATAAATCTGCTTCCGGGTGTCTCCGCTCTGATGGAGTACTTCTAATATCGGCCTTGAGGAGAAACAGTAGGCAGTCGCTAAATAGATGGACAGAGGGATAAAAAGGGAGTGATGGAGGAAAACACCACAGCCAGTCAGCTGCTTCTGTTCAGCATTAAACATATTGTTAGTGGTTTGGCCTGGCCACAAGAGCAGGGCGTGTGTGCCTTTGTGTGTGTGTAAGACCACAAGAACGTGGCCCTGTGGAGACCAGTTAAAAGAGCTGTAAATCTGGAGGAGGAAGGAACAGGCTGCAGGCCAACACACACAAAAACACATGTACACGCCTACCGGGAGGAGGTTGGGAGACAAACGGCACCCAGAGAGCTTCTCCAGATACTCACCACTCTGTTAGTGTTGGGCGTGCGTGCTGCGATGCGCTCGTATTCATCAATCTTGGACTGGTCGATGTCTGCCTTCAGCTCCCAGGTGGCGTCTTCGTAAGGCAAACTGCACCATTTCACTAAATATAAGGTCACCGTCTGCGCACAAGCACACAGAAACACAGCGCTGGTAAACCTGTGCTTGTTGTGAGAGAGAAAAGGGGATCGGAGGGGTTCAACCCAAAGAAGGAGAAGATCAAAGCACCTCTCCGTTTTCATCTGCGCTCTCTGAAACATCCAGGACACGGTCCACCTCCACATAATCCGGGTTAAAAGGCTCATCATCCATCTGTGAAAAAAACAAAACAGGGAAGTTTTATTATTAGTCAATAGGTTTCTATTTAATCTACAGAGCAAAATAAAAGTGCAACCGTTTGTCTATATTAAGAGGTAAATTGTTTAAAGAAAATGAACGACGGATGAAACAATCATGTTTAGTCATCCTAAAACTCAAAACTTTGCTGCTTTTGGTTTAAAACGTTGGCGTCAACCAACTCATCCAACCCTTTGAAGATGCTCCTTCCCCACAGAGTCGGGTCAGGAGCAGATGGAAGCACAAAGATCAGTTCCTACCTCCGTTATAAAGGTGTTAAGTTGCTGTTTGGCCCTAAACCTTTTGATCTTCTGGTGTATTCTCTTATCCTTTTCCAGCTCCTCCAGCTCTGCCCAGCGACAGTGGAGGTAGGAACTGAAACAAAAGAACGAAAGAAACACTTCCAAGTCAATATTTTATAGCTTGCTTGTCGTTGAGGCGAACACAACGCATGGAGTTCATACTTTACTGAAGGTGAATGATAGATGTTTTTAAACTGGTGAAAGGAGAACAGATAATTAACACTAATGAGGTAAAATATGATATGGGCATAAATAGTCATACATTGATAGGTGCTTTAAAGTGGATTTGTAGTTTTATTTTATTTTAAACATAAGGAGCTCTGAATGAGAGTAATTTATAAAAGTTTAGGCAATTACATTAGCAACAAGAACAAACAACTAGAAATTCAGTCTGAAACCTGAAATTCAATATCTGTGCAGTAGGAATGCGTGATATATACAGTGCACGGTAGAAACAGTAGACATTTAGTCTACGATAGAGATCTGTCTTCTACCGGCTAACCGCAGTAACGCTGTGTCTGATGTAAAATCAGAGTTTTCAGATTTAATCGTTACGTTTGTTTTGAGTTGAAAACTGCGTAAATGGTGTTAAAGTCCATTTTCTTTGAGCGCTAAGTAACAAAGCTTCACACCAACTACAGCCGGCTTGTCGTATTTGGACGCATGCACAAAACACTGTGTTCCGTCAAAAGTTCAAGCGTTCAGCTTTAGAGAGTGCGTTTGTGCTAAATAAAAAGTGCTAAACCTGCTCTCTGATCTGTGAAAAGAACGCTGCGTTGTATGATTTTACTGCGAGACCCTCTCTGGTCAAAGCCACAGAGGAAACTGGTCGCCATTTTGTGTCAGCTCTCCTTAAAGCAGAAGGAAACACCCACTGGAGGAACCCCTCCTTTGCTTTTGAAGCCAAACCTTCGTCTGTCAGAAACTGACCCACTGGACTGGTGGAGACTGCACCAGGCTAATTTTCCAAGAATGTCGAGGCATGGCAAGCAATAACTTTACATTCCAGCCACGAGTGCCCCTTCAGAAAGGGCATTTAGCACTGGCGGCAACATTGTTTCATGCCACCAGTCTCTGTTAAAGCCAGAGACTGTGGACAAGCTGGCGTTCTTGGCCAACAATCTTTAGACTCTAACAAATGACAGCGAGATGTTGAATTTTAGTCTTGTTAAGTGATTTCAGTGTGCAGTGCACTAAATGCTGCTCTGTTGCTGTTCATTTCTTAAGTGAGGAGTCTGGAAACTGTTGAGTTAACAACATATTTTTTTGGTTAAAACATATGGCTACAACTACATTTGATATATTTTGCACTGTTTTGCACTACAAGAAAGAAGCCTAATACTTGATTTGTTCATTAGTTAAAAACTCTCTGGACCTAGTAGTGGAATTTTCTTAATTGAGATTATTTTGCGGCATAGCAGTTTTTAAAATAAATGATGGCAGAATTACACCCTATGCTTTTTTTCCCCCCATTCCTATATCAAGTTTTATACCAAAAACATATCATGATATATATCGTTATCGCCACCCATCACAATACATATCGTGATATGAATTTTATGCCATATCGCACATCCCTACTATGAAACTATTTCCAAATTCTGTTATTGATAAAAACTATACAACTTTTTTTCTTTCGGCTGCTCTCTTCTTCAGAGGTCGCCACAGTGAACTAACTCGCATGAAGACGTGGCGATTGTTTTTACGTTGGATGTCCTTCCTGACGCAACCACAGACCACCGAGCTACCACAGCCCTCTGAGTGGAGCAGAGAGCTGCTATCTAGGGCGCCCGGGGGAGCAGGTGGTGGGGGTTAAGGGCCTTGCTCAAGGGCTCAGAGTGGGGCAAATGAGAGTGGAGGCAGGTGTGGCTGCTTCACCTTTCCTACCCACATTTTTGATGTTGGTACCGGGAGTTGAACCAGCGATCTTCCAATCACAGGCCCAACTTATCTAACCTCTGCACCAGCACTCCCAATAAAAACTATACAACTATTATGTTAAAATAAACAGTATTAAGGATTTGAAGAGCTGATTAGGCACATCAAGATGTTAAAGCTTACAGTAAAGTCAATTAGGAAATTTAACTTTGAGGTTTTGTGCAGATACACTGAGCAATTATAAAAGATTCAGTTACTACTTGCAACATAGTCTAAAGTTTAATTATCTAAATGTGTTTTCACGTCATAAATATGTACCATTCGTTGCCTCCTAACCCACATAGTGACTTTTTCTGGCCATGCAGAGCATTACACTTTATGATAAATAACATGAAGACTAAATATATTCTGGTGACTGTTTTTCAGACTTGTGGTAAAAAAAGAAAGGTTAAACATTGTTTATCTGTCTTGAAATGTTCCCAGAACTGTCCTTGCCAGACAGCAATCTTCATGCATTTAGCAATATGAGGGGCTGCCAGGACTGTACTTGTATTATAGATCTGAAGCAGAAATAAGAGCGATCACAGCAGAAATAAAATTGAATTAAGGCTTTCAGGCTGAATATACTGGGCTTTTCACACTTAAAAACCAGTGGACACCCTGGTGCGTGTGTTGAAAATGGGTCTCAAAAAAGAGAAAGCCCTGTTGCGAAAGACAAAAGAGGTGGAGAGCCAAGAAAAACCTAGCTACTACTTACAAGCCCTTGAACTTGACGTAGAACTCCTCCACCTCCACTTCCTCCCCTGACTCCAGCTGAAAAGAAAAAAAAGGGTTAATAATCACATCAAATATAGCAGCGGGTTGATGAAAGAGCAGAAGTGGCTCGTCATTGTTATACAACATGTGGTTTAATTTGGTGAAGTGGCACACTAGGAGACTGCAAACGGTTCCACAGACACGTCAGTCAACAGAGTCGAGCTCCCAGGAAGGCTTTGTTCAATTTATGTCTCAACAGATAAATGCTTTGTTAGTCTGGATACGTTATAAAGGACAACTTTTAAAGAGGACAACAGAAGACTGAGTCAGAACGTGAACTATTTTTACAGTAAAATATTAACAAATAATCTAAGATGACTGCTAGGGTAAGCCATTAATTTTCATACATGTGTTAAAGAAGAAATCCCCAAACAGTAGCCCCTTTAAGCTGTCTAACTCCATTTACTACTACTAACGTAGCTGTAGCTCGCACACACACACGCACAGACACACACATCTTTCTATTACTGTACTGCCGTGAATCATCAATCACACACACGCGCACACACACACTGCCTGAGGAAACACTAGCTTGGC